TTACTAGGTTCAACTACAAAAAAACACTACTCAAATGGCCCCTATATCCTCGTTAAGGGGTTATAGGGATGGCCCCTGTATCCCCTTTAACGGGGGTTTACATAACTATATAGGGTTTAGGGTTTAGGGTTTAGAGCTTCCTGAGACTAGGGGTGCCTTTAAAGGGTTGGGGGTTTCTCAAGAGTAGGGGTGCATCTTTGGGGGTCCCCATAAGAAGGACTATAGTATTTTGGAGATCTATCCCTGGAATCCCCTTATCTATGAAAACTAGCAAATGAGTAGACAATTTTCTCAGGCTATTCGAGCTAGAGTCTAAAGTCCTTAAAGGGGGTTATACGGCGGATTATTTGGGGAGTATTGTAGGGTCATGAAGGGGGATACTGCTACCTTAGATTATAGCTCATGTGAGATTATAAAGGGTTGCACGGCGATACTCTTATCAAGGGTTGCTGAACCTAAGTCCTAGTCCCTTTTTTCCAAAGCAAAGGACCGAATCCTACGGAGAGGATGCAAAAAACTCATTGACAGGATGTGTGCTTCAAGGGCGAGGGTCTTTGCGTCATCTTCCTCAAGGAGCCTTGCTTTTGCTTTCCTGCAGCTGCCGTATGCATCAAGCCAAATAGTTTGCAGCCAAGGACACATGCAGTTTGAAAGCTGCGCTAAAGCCTGGGCTGCATAACCCTATTATGAAGAATTCTAAGCCCTGAAACCCATCAGGACGGTGAAGCCTCCCAGGCTGAGATTGACATGCTCACAGGCCGCCCAAAATTTGCATAGGTTGCAGCTGGGGATGTCTGAAAGCTATGGTGTTCTATTGGGGGGGATGAGGAACATGTCGGTTTGTGGGTCTATGGCGGACGATAGCATCGCGTTCTGGCAGCTGCAAGCTATTTGCCTCTTTGGGGTTGCAGTTCCAAGCAGTAGCTGAAGCTTCCACTTTGAGCAACAGTGATGAGTACCTTACCAAATAATTTGGCTTTTCCATTAAGATCTTAGTTTGTTGAGTCATGCTTGACAAGGTCTCTCCAAAAAGTATACCTCGCAGCTGAGCGACCGTGGTGCCAAGATGAAGTGGTGCCTCAACTGTGTTGGTAGTCTTCGCCTCTAAGATTTAAAAGACCTACCCCCCCCCCCCCCCCCCCCATATTAGATATTCCCAATAGATTACAGTATGCGGCAGTCGGAATGTTTGATACTGGGGGGGGGGTGTGGGGGTTTCGATGCTAGTGGGGATGGACCATGTTTTTATTGCGACTTCTAAGTGTGATGGCATGTCCCTCCTGGGCCTGTGGAGGATGTGGATGAATTTGAATGCAGAGAAGGCCTACAAGGACCGACAGCTGATGAATCTAAATCTTGTTCACCAATACACCTCCCGTTACGATGCAAATGGTCACATTGAAGGACCTGTTCAAGCCTGCTCAGCTTCCATCGGCAGCAGTCTTTAACCCTCACAAGAGGCGTGGTGCAACATGCACATTACCGGACATGACTCGGCAGCATTTGCCTGGCCCCAGGCTGCGCTTTACACTGTTGGATCACGGTGAAGAGGGCGAGGCCGCTTCCTGCTGAATAGAGGTTTGCGAGTGTGAGAATGCGATCTCAGCTGGATTGCTGCTGTTGAAGTGCTCATGCGAAGGTGAAGGGTGATGAGCAGGGTATCATCAAGCTCTTGGATAAAGTGCTAGGCACCGCCTGCGTGTTTCCCAGATGACTTGCCTGAAGCCTTCGCTGTGCCTTCAGGAGGCGATGCCCGTTTCACGATGGTTCCCGGCCAGAAGCTGCCAGCCTGGGCACAGCGCGAGGCCCCGGCTGGCAAGAAGGCCCCAAGTGTTTCTGCCTTGCTCAGGGGCTTCGCAGTGGGATGATACAACTCGCAGTAACGCCTGCTGATGCCTGCTGTCAGGCGGAGCTGTGAAGACCTGCAGCGCCAAGCACTCCGCTGCTGTTGACAGGGTTGCTGCGAACCGGTGCGGAGAATGCTTAACCACACCTAGACTTAGACCCAAGACTCCCGACTGCCACTTTCAAGAAATCATGAGGAACAAGAGCCTTGAGGGTTTTGGGGTTCGCGTTTGATCATCACTGCACCTTACCGCAGATGGATTCCAAGAATGCCTCCCTGCGTGTGTAGGTCGGTGTGGCATCAGAGAAACTAGATAAAGCACCAATGCACAACATGTGTAGATACATAAGGCAACGCAGATGCTCGTGCCACGCGGACCTTCGCCATGTCCCAACATTTGGGACTCTAGGACGTCCTGTAGGCTGCGAGTTTTTGTCACTCCATTGAATTTGCGCTCATGCGCATGAGTGCTGTGCAGATAGATCGCAGGCCAACAGATTCATGAGCATACTGAATTTGAAGACTGATATGATCAAAATTTTCCATGTGATTCAATTTTCCATCTTTTCTTTTGCGTTTGAATTTTCCCTGATTGAGGTCATATTGCTGCATTGCATACTCTTAACCAGGTCATAGGCAAGCATCTCAACTTGCTCAAAGAGAAACCTGTGGCCAAGAATTGGCTCTTTGTCCCACTGTTGCTCGGATATGATCTGTTGATGGACCCTGATGCTACTTCAACAGTGGGCCGGAGAGCGTGAAAAACCAAGCCGGTGCTCTACCAGGCGCATGGCGACAGACCGACAAAAAATCGAGTGCAGTTGATTGGAGGGTTGCACTACTTCCAAACAACACTTTTCAATTGCTCAATCTGTATCCCGTGATAAAAGTCTGCCTGTTCAGTTACCTGCTGAGCAGCGTGTTGGCCGGGTGTTTGAAAGCGGCAAAGGAGTCCAGAGCAGTCAAGGCGGGTCAGAATTCTCTTTTGATCGGGTGTTGGAGGCTGCCTGCACGAGTGTTCGAACAGCCGTGGCAGGTCCGCTTCAACCAGGAAGGCATCATGAGCAATCAGCCCTGCCCTTGGCATACCTGCGCTGGGGTCTCACATTCCAGACGTCAAAGGCAGAGCTTGATGCGAGGCTCGCGTAGCACTGATACCTCTCAAAGTGAAGTCAAAAGGGGGCTTTGGTGCAGGAAGGATCCACAAGATCAGCATTATTCTCATTGAATGTCAGAGTTGACATTCATCAGCAGAACTATGCTCAAACTGGCATTGTCCTCCTCAAATGCTTTGGTGCCCTGTGGTGCAATGTGGATCAACTTGCGGTCCTGAGCAGAGGTTCATTCTGCGCAGCCGGGGCCGCCAGCTTTTGTGCGAGGCCATGTCACAGGAGCAGAGTAGTCATGTAACATGCGATGCAAAATTCATGACGGTTGCATCCATCGTAAGAGTATCGTACGTTTAGTATTATAAAGAAGTGACAGCCAAAGCATGGCAGGCTTTGGTGTGTCCGGCAGCCGAGCAGGCGACGCAGTGCTGATTGTGAGATGGGCTAGTAGACAATGAATCGCAAGGACGCGAAGTCTTTCCCGCGATGCATTGGCAGATATGCGTGTAGGTGCTCAATGCGCCCGGCAACAATCCGTGATTAGCTTAGTTCATGCCTTTAGCTTATCAGGTCTGAGGTTGATGGAGCATCTCATTTTCATCGCCATTTGTTCAAGTTGCGGTTGTCAAGCCATCAGGCAGCGAAGTGTTCCTACCAGCGAGTGGTGTCCTCAAGAATCTCCAAGAGCGCAACACATGGGTACTTGTCGATACTCAGGTCTATGGGGTACTGACTCGCAGTCCTTGAGCGCTTACTTGCGGAAAAAAAGAGCACTGCAATTTGCTTTGGAGTAGTCCTGGATTGCCCGCATGTACAATCTCTACTGGGACTACCGTGACCTAGTACCTTCAAACATCAAGTCTACAGTATTCTACCATGCAATATAAGCTGAGGTGTGTCCCCAAATTATACTGGAAGATTTTCGGGTTCGAGCTCATCCGTTTACTAGTGCATCGTACCCCGAGCGCACCCGAATACCAGTGCGTGCATGCCCAAACCATGTTCGACGCATGCGATTTCCAGTGCATGCATGCCCAAACCATAATTAATGGCGTTTCTGTTCCAGTGCATGCGGTACGGGCACGTGTGCTTCTATGTCTAAACCATGATAATGTTCATGTTCGAGTACATCCGATTACCAGTGCATGCACTCCGTAATCATAACAGTGCATGTTTCAGATCAGACGCTCAAGCTGCACGCCATTAGTCCAAGATGGTGAGATTTAGGGACCGTTCATTGCCAAATCCTGGGAATGTTCCCAGTGGTCCAAGCTTCGCCCCATTCCTTCAAGCTTTTGCGGAGTTCTGATTCATGTTTATAGTCGCCAGTGCATCCGTGCCCAACCCATAATAAGGTTCAAACATGTTCGAACCAGGCCAGCATCAGCCCCTTGCAGTGCCAAATAGACACGCGCGCAAAGCGCTCGAAATACTGAACGGCCTGGGACAGAATCATTCCGAGCGCAAAACGGGGCCACTTTTTGGGGTCCAGCCTTACCAGCTGCTTGCCCCTACGCACCCAAACGCCTACCAAACCGTGCTAGCACCTAAAAGCGCCCAAGCGCCTAAATGCCCTATTAAAAAATCTGACCCAGAATGCGAAATAAACACGTGCACGGCGTGCTCAAAGTACTGCCCGGGCTGGGACGACATTAAAGATTCGCAGCTTCATGCCCTTTTTATCTTACAAACCAAGAAATCCGAAAGCCGCGTCCCTAGCAGGCTCAGGACAAAACGAAAGTCTTGCGCAAACAATACGATCAGAAATGCGCAGCAAACACGTGTGTGAAACGCTCAATATTTTGCCCGCCTGGGACGACATCACGAATTCGCATCTTCGTATGCGCTTTTTGCCCAAGGCATCGAACACTGGCTTGATCTTGTTACATGCAGTCGTGTACACGTCGAACTTACTCATGATGCCTTGCTTCAAACCTTTGATGCCCTCAGAGTGCTCTGGTTCCCTGAGTGCAATTCTGTTCAGTACAGTAGCTTATCAGACATGCTACTCCACAGCCAAGCTGATCGATCTTTCGACACATCATTTGTCTTTGCGCCTATGCAGCCACAGAATTGCAAGCTTGAAAATCAAGTGCATTGGTGATTCCTTGGCCATCATTGCAGTTCTGGTGCCTCATACAGTAGCATGGTCATATGGCTACCGCTCAACATAATTGGTTCGGAACCAGGAGGAAATCCAAACCTCGATCCAGAGCTCCGGAACAAGCTCCCAAACCCCTGTCCAGACGCTTCGTCGGCAGTTGCTCCAGACCCACGAACGCAATGTCTCAAAACCGACGTTGCGCTTGGCGGTCCGTTTCATGGCCTTTCCACACTTGTTGCATTCTTGTCCCAGACCTTGCGGGAAATAACAGGGGTAAGTCACTTGTTCCAGACCGCTCCTTTTCAACCTGCGGAAGAGTTGGTCATTTGCAACACACCTGAGTTCCGCCCGTTGCCTTTGTTTGAATTTTTTTGTTTCAACCAATTTGCCATGTTGGATGTGTTGCTCATCTGTCAACTAATTGCCTGATCAACACTGAACGGCCTGAACATACATGTGTGGCTGCACATGCTGGGTCCCATCCCCAAAAACTTGCATCCGTTGGAAACAAGGCTGTGCGCCGCGAGGCCGCCTTCAAGACCAAACCGGCCTCACACGGCCCTTGATGTATCTTCGAAGCCAACGAAACATGTTGCAAATGTGTCATCGAAGATATCTTGATTTGACCTGGTGCCCACCCCGGTGCTGCAGGAGACAAGTCCGTCAACACAGCAACACGTGTGCGACACCGGCCTCCGTTAGCTTTCGTGGTCGTTCCTGCCCAACTCTCGGTTTTCTTCTTGGCAAGATGCTGCAGGCACCCACCCGCTCGCCCACTCAGTAAACACCCGCGATTGTTGATGCAGGGACATTCATGGTGCCAGCTGTCAGGCACCTTGACAAAATGTAGAAATCATATGAAATCATTCGTTTCCACCTGGGAAACGGGAGCGACCACCGCAAGTCCAAAGGCTGCACGGTTCCTAGCAGAGCGGCGACGAATTTTGCGCATCCAACCTTCGTTATTCAGGCATGTGCACAACAGAGGTGAACTGTTATGGCCACAAGCTTGCAACTGCCAGTGCATTTTGCAATGCCCGACAACCAAGTAATTAGATCGCCTAACATGAACTTGCAAATTTTACTTTACTGGATGTACTGTTGGCCGATGTTGGCTTCTCAAAGCGGTTTTTGGGCGTGCCGACTGTTTATCACGTAAGCTAGCCTCCGGGTCTAGCTTGAGTTCCTTATCGTTAGCTTGCAACAAGGGGTGTGGGGGTATGGGTCCTCCAGGGGTGGGCAGGTTTTGAGGGTTCTGGCAGCCAGACAGCACGGTAGGGAGGGATTCGGTCGTGGGACCAGAGGGTCGTGTTCTGACTCTCTTAGG